TTACACATACACACACTCACACACACACACGCACAAAGACCAGCGTAAGAGACCAAAATTTATTTGAATGAAGTAAATCCAAAAAGCAAAATCCAATAAATTCCAAAATACGATATGCAACATGTGCACAACCATAAGTCTCTCCCACACCAACGCCTCTGACCAAAGTAATTGATATTCATAATTATTTATTCCCTATTTAATAAAAATCAGACTCTGCTTTTAATTTTTGATTCGTCAAAATATTTTAAATAATAAAACAAATTAAAATGACATGGACAAAAATGATGTGATATTTTGTTGCACAACCTTTAGTGACATTTACTGCAAACAAGTGATATCTGTAGCTCTAAATGAGATGCCTGCACCTGCCAATAGGTAGTTTGGTTCACTCTTCTTGAGCAAACTGCTTCAGGTTTCTCAGATTTGAAAGGTGCCTTCTTCATGTCTTTCCAAAGATGTTCGAAAGAGAAGGTCATAGAAGGCCTTGTCAGAGCAGCCCATTGTTCCAATGTTTTGTTCTTAGCCATTATTCAGTGCTTTTAGCTAAGCATTTTGGGTTATTCTCCTGTTGTAGGACCCCTGATATTTCACTGAGTCAGAGGTAGTATGTTTTGCTCTATGCCTTAACCGTCTTTAGATTGGATTGTGCCCAGATACAAGGTGCAGCAAAGCAGCCTCAAAACATAACTGAGCTTACACCATGTTTCACAGTAAGTATAGAGTTCTTTTCTTTGAAAGCTTCTATTTTTCATCTGTGTGATGGTGTGATTTGCCATCAACTCCAGATTTGTGTCATCTGTCCAAATTACATTGTCCCAGATGCATTGTGTCTTGTCAGTATGCATTTTAGCAAATTCCAGTCTTTTTTTTGTTTTTTATGTTTTACTTTCAACAGTGGTCTTCCTTTGAGACCACTGCGGCTCAAAAAGCAATGGATGGTGTGATCAGACACTGATGTGCTTTGACTTTGCAGTTCAGCTTGTATCTCTTTGAAAAATGTCCTTGTCTCTTTGTCTACCATTTACACTATCCTTCTGTTCAATCTGGGGTCAATTTTCCTCTTGCAGTCGTGCTACTGGCTTGGCTACTCGCCCATCTTACTTCTTAATATTTGCAACTGTAGTTTCAGGAACATCAAGCTCCTTGGAGGTGGTCTTATAGCTTTTGATATACTGGTCAATAATTCTCTTTCTGTCCTCAGACAACTATCTCCTTAGCTTTCTCTGGTGCATATTCAGTGTGGTTCACATGATAATACCAAACAGCTGAGTGACTACTTTTCTTCATTTATATAGGCTGACTGACTGATTACAAGTTTATGTGTGATACTAATTACAGAAAAAAGTTTGAAATATCACCATGCAATTATTTGTAATCTTTTCTAGGGATAATAACAAATCTGTCCAGGTCATTTTATAATATCTTTGTAGTATATAGGCAATCATTTACTGCTTTTGACACTTTCTTTCCTTTACTCTATTACATACCAAAGGCATGGAGATATACATGAGACAAATACTTTCAAGGAAAGAGAATTGAAAGGGAATCTTAAGCTCTTCTGACTTCCACCGTCCGATCATGTGCAAACAAAAATACTGTCTTTTTTTATTTTCCTTGCATGTTATTGGGTATTCTTTGCAAAGTGAATTTTCCCTACATTAATTAAGCTCTTGCAAAGTGAACAGCCTATTTGCATTTAGTAAATCAACCCCATTGTTTCAGAGAGATGTATGGGTACCAAACAATTTGTGTACAAATTTCATAAATTTGCTGGTACAAAGAAATATGTGTGGGTGATGTGTGTGTGTGTGTATATATATATATATACACCTGGAAGGGGGGGATTGTGAAAGCTGGGGATTTTAAACAGTAATGTACAGGTGGGGGGGTCTAGGGTTGGGGTAAGGGGGGTAAGAGCTGGAGATCTGTTTTAGGACCATCACAAAATTATGAGAGATCAAGTATGTACAAATGAGAAAGTTACATGCAAAATTACTTTTCTTTAAACACTGAAAAAATATCTCTAAACATATGGCAGCCACTTGACTCAGTAAGTACTAAGAGCAGTCACTGGAAGTGGGTGTAAGAGCACGTAATGTACAAAATAGCTTCATCAGCTGCCAATCCCTTTCTTTTACAGACTAATCCGCTTCTGACAACAGCTGCTAAATTATCATTATACAGGACACAGAAAACCCTTTTGGTCATTCACATTGTGTAGCTTAGTTAGGAAGAAAGGGTGTGGTTTTCACGTGTGACAAGCAAGACACATCAACTTTACAAACATGGCATTGGAATGTGTGGGACTGTAATGAACAACAAAAAAAAGCATGTACATGCAGTGATTTACAGGTCAGGTAAAATATGTATCTGCCATCCCATGCCGTGCTAAAGACTACATATCATAGGGCTGGTGACAGCCTTCCCCCCCCTTACCCCCTCCCCATTGAACTGCAAGGGCTTGTTCACAAAAATGTGGTGCGTTAATTGCATGGTTTCATGTGATTAATGCACGCTGCTGCTGTGTTACAGTGAGGGAAATGCATTGCGTTTCCATTCATTTGAATGCCACCCCATACGCACCCACCCTCAATGCGCTTGACCGCACCTCAACGCGTGATACCGCAATACAAATAAATGTAAATGCAACGTACCTGCCCTTAGAAATACCACCTAAGTATCTACCTTTACTTCCCATCATCTTACAGAGCAGACACTACCACTTCAACCTGAATATTTCAAATAGTTACAGTAGTTTTTTTTTTTTCTGTTTGCTTTTATTTAAGGGGTACATAAGCGACCTAAAGCATATTTTAATTAAATGCCTGACATTGTTCTTTAAGACAGTCTGACCCTTTTTATTACATTGTGTGTGATTTGAAACAGGAGGCATTGCAATGTATGGAGTCTGCTGCACAGCTTATGCAGATGGTACCATCTGGGAGCGAAGCGTTTGCCAGCAACTCTCAGATTCTAGATGAGAAATTAAAAGCCCTGGATCAGAGTATTGAGGAGAAATTGGAAGTTATAAGTGTCTATGTAACATTTTTAAAGTCTTCAAAACAGGTAAAATAAGCTTTTAAAGGTTACTTTTTGCAATGAATAATATGTTGTTACAGAAGATGTATAGTGCTGTAAGCTATAAACACACACGCACACACACGCACACACACATTCAACTTTAGGCAAACAATCTCATCAATTTTATGTTGATATTTTAAAAACTTTGTTTCTTTTTATCATTGAAGATGGATATATTTTGTTCATCGCTTATGCAAACTGTGCTTCCTGCTTAGCAGTGCCAAACACTGATGTGATATGTTTTACGGTTTCCTTTTTCTCATTGTTAGGCTGGCCATACACTGATCAATTTTTTCCGTTCAGCCCGCGGACTAAATTAAAAAAATAGACCTGATTCCTCCATCAACACTAACAGCATGTCGATCGAGGAATCCCCGGTGTTTACATACAGCGGCTGCCAGCACCTGTCAAAATACCTGACCAAAGCGAGCAGCTCATTGGTTTCCGCCTCTGATCATATGAAAATTGTGGGCAGGCTCCTTCGATTACCTGATCGAGGGATGCCAGCCGAAAGGGCGCCGACAGCACCACACACTGTGCGATTTCCGGCTGATTCCTTCAAAAAACAGCTGAAATTTCCACAGTGTATGGGCACCTTAAGTCTATCAGTCGGCTCCGATTTTCTAAAACTGAGATACTCACTTTGCAGCCCATACAATAGAAAAAAACATGTCTGTAGTCGTTCAGCATTGATTCAAAATCGCTGTCCAAAGAGAAAATCCACAAAGTTATCATCATAAAAATTTAGCACAACAAGCACATAAAACTGGGAAGGTCACATTAAGGCTATCTTTATATAAACCTGACAAAAACTTAAAATGTGCACTCATAATTATTGTATGCTACAGTTTCGCTTTAAATGGTGCTGTGAAATTAGAAAGGTAGCTGCCTGACAATGCTTTGTATTAATATTTTCTGGTTGTTTTTGGCCATAAAGGTCTAATTGTGTTGATAATATTGCCAATAAAATGATATTTTGTATTTATGCAAAGTTGGAATCTCACATCGAGAATCTTAAGACGCTGTGCACACCTAATCCAGAGGCAACTACCCAACTGGAGACAGCGGAAACACAGATACAGATTGTGCTTGATGAACTTTTTTCAGTCCAAGACATGGGACAAAATTGTCTGAATATCATAAAAATGGTGAGATCAACTATACCTCAACATAGAGTCAAGAATTAAATGAAAAGGTTTAAAATGGATAAAAGCTAGTAAAAAGTCTGCAACGTTCAAGTGATTCCTACAAATGGTTATGTTGTTGGTTAAAAAAATAGGGCATATACAGGATACTTTATATAATAAAGGCTTATTGTAGCACATGCATATGTATATTGTAGTATACTATAAAGAAGGAGCACATCTTTGATAGAGGGATGATATAAGTCCGGAGCATAATGAGGTCATCATGCTACACCCATTACATCAATTGATGGTTGTCCACCGAGAATCGTGTGAATCTCAGAATGTTGTTGTTGTGTATGGCATTGCCATGGTAAACTCTAATCAAAACAGAGATAACTAAAAGGCCATACACTATGCAAAATTCGCACAGTGGGAGCCGCTGTCAGCGCTCTTTTGACTGGTGTCCCTCAATCAGCTGATTGAATGAGCTAGTTAAAACCTTCAAACGAACAGAGTCAGCAGCCAATGAGTTGCCAGCTCTGTTTGGGTATTCTGACAGCGACCACTATCAGAATACAATGAAGACATCAGGAGATAGTTCGATCAGCGCTTGTAAGCATTGCTGTAGAAATCTGTTATATTTTCTACGTTCAGCCTGCAGGTTGAATGAAAAAAAATATTACAGTGTAAGGGCAGCCTTAGGGACTGATTGATGATAGAGCACATATACTGCTATCCACTCCCTGTTATACTCCACTGTATGTTATATTCCACTGCATTTTGCAGACCATTTATACATTTCAGGCAGGGATATTGAGTCTGCAGAAATAACTGCAGCAAGTGATTAGAGGGGAGTTGGCCACATGTTGAGTCAGCGAAGTGCTAAGCACGTTTGTGAAGCACATCATTGTACTTTATACATGTGTATTTTTATAAAATCGGTGGTATGGCATCAGTAAGACCTTATAGCAGCTTCACAGCGTTCGGCATTGAAAAAAATGGGGGCCGCCATTGCTGACCTCATTCTGTGAATTGCCCTTCCCTGGAAGTCTCTATCTTCATTACTTTCTAAATCACTGACCCAAAATAAGCATACAATTTAACCGTTTTGACTTCACTAGTTACATACCTATTAGGAGGCAGTGACCAAAAATAATTTGAAGTCAGAGGTTCAGCAAGACAACCAGGAAGATTGCGTTTTTAGAATAGTTCAATCAATGGAAACCTAGTTATTTCTTAGTTTAGGTTTATTTTAATTCTTGTCTTAAACATTACAAACATCTGATGTAAATGGATGTAGATTTTTCATCCTGGTAAAGTCCTGTTACATTTGAAGCATTTTTTATGAAGGTAAATGTTATGCACAGCAAATGTACCCAGTCTGAGACTTTTTATGTATGAACATGATCGAAAGAAGTTTAAATCATAGTTACCATTTAATCGATTAATAGTTTCAGAACTATTTTGATTTCAGATGAACAAGGACAGATTCTTGAAGGATAAACATGTGCAGACTGTGGAGGACACGATAGCTAATCTGAATAAGGAAAGGAATGAGATAACAAACCTGTGGTCAGTGTGGCGACAGCATGTCAGTCAAGAAAATTCCTCCAAGCAGACATGGAGAACAATTAAAGATCAGCTGAGACTGGTATAACTTTAGGATATATTTTATGTATAGAAGCTCATGTGCAAGTTAAATAAAGTGAAGACTAAAAAACGTTTGTTTTGCAAATTCTTTTACACATTTTTTTTAAACTATTAACTATTAGTACCCTATAGATATGGTAATATTGTTCAATAACACAGTGCAACATCTGATCACTATGGGGCAAATTCACAGAGTAAACAACTCTGCAAACGTCTGAGTTTTAGATTCAAAGCTCAATGTGGCCACTGAATGGAGCCGAGGAGCAGAAGAATTTTCTATGTTCTATTTCCTGTGTGAATCTAAAACTCAAATGTTTGTAGAGCTGTTAGCTCCACAAATGTTTTATAAAGACAATCATTTGTGTAAAATGAATGCATTAACACATAGGGGTCTATTCACAAAGCTGCCGAAGGATCTGGCACATTCATGTGAAAATTCATTTTGATTGCACACTATAGGTTTATTGCATTTTCACATAAGCATTATAGTTTGTGTGGGGTCAAGAAGGTTCTGCAACACTATAAATAGTGGCCTTTGATTTTTAAATGTAAAGTTTATTAACTTTTTTTAATAGGCAAGTGGCAGATTACAAGAACTGGAAAATGATCTACAGCCTTTGTCTTCATTGAGTTTAGGAAATGATATCCAAAATATCTTAAATGCACAGGAGAAGTTGTATAATATTAAAACAAAGTTTCAGGTAAGCAGGAAAACCTTTTGTGTGAATATGAGAATACCCTAGTAATTCTAGACCAACGTGAGCCTTTTGTTTTTGCACAGAAGGTGTTCCAATGTTCCCTGGTTAGGACACTGATTATAACTAATTATTATGCTGTATTTTTGTTTGATTGATTGGAATAACATCTGCTTGGAAGTAACAGAGCACCAGTAGGAAAAGTGGTCTGAAAAGCAGACATCCCAACCTGCAAAAACTCATTTCAAGGAGGTGTATTATGCCAGCGGCCGCTGTCAGAGTACAAAAATACAGATAGTAGGTAACAGCAGATAGCAGGGGATCCCAGAAAGGTTTACTCCGCTACATAGAGCAGAGTAAACTTTTCAGCAATAAAATGTTTCTCTCACGGGCGTCAGGAAGCCACTATCTTATAGAGGGAGACTCCCGGAACGTCTGGGAGAGTTGGGATGTCTGGCTGTAAAGTGAACCTGGCCTGGCCGAAATGTCAGAATTATAACAGTGCTGAGATTGCAGGCATCAAGTTTTTATGTTAATTTTCAAATCAATAATTGTGTCCTTGTGGAGCCTTATGGTTTCTAGGCCCATGCTGTACATGTGGCTTTGATTTAAGCCTAAACTGAGCCCATGTTGCACATCTGTGAAAAGGCCTCTCCCACCCAACCAACTGATAATGAAAGTGCTTGGGTCTAGTGGCCAATTGCTAGGCCCCAGCCCTGTCACATGACCAACAGTTATGAGCACCCCGGGAGTCAAATACTAACTTCCAGCTGCACGGTTGAAGGTTTTGCATGCTTCGTCATACTCTCCTCAACATTCACTTTTTTAACCAGTCAAGAATTATAGTACACTTGCAATGAGAAATGTAGCGGGCTTTTAAAGGAACACTGTCATGGAGGTTGCCATTACTGAACTTTCCATCGAGAATGCTTGCTTCTTGGTTGTACTTCTGGTGTTTTGACTTTAATGTTGTATGATTTACTGACCCAGAACAAGTATAGAGATAAGAAGTTCAGACTCTTTTCTGACACTCATTTACAGAGTCAGACACAGCTAGGCATCTAGCATTTTCAGAAGGAGGCATGCAATGGCAGGACCTATACTTCTCTTAAGACTGAGTCACTTTCAAGCAATCTGATAAATGCAGTATGTGCAGGAACCTTTTGGCTTATACCTTTACATTTTTACATTAGTTTTACTACTTTTCAGCCATGACAAGCATGTATTACTAAAGGTCCCTGTGTGACAGCCTTAAATGTCCCAAATTCAGTTACTATGTAATACACAAACCTCATAAAGTAAATAAAAATAAATCTATACCCTCTCCGACTAAACAAAATCTTAATTTATGTTTTAAATGCTCTCCCTCACAGACACTACAACTTACATTGTGAGGGTTTCAGCAACAGAGGCCATGCTGTTAATCAAGAAAGCAGTGGGCAGAACTAGGTGGAGCCATGTGCTGATTGACAAGCTACAGGCTTATGAATCGGCAGTGGCAATGCTAATAACAACACCCATCTAATATTTTTTACAGTATTTGACTGTAATGCAAGCAGATACAGCATATAGGAGAATGGCAACTCTTCTCTGAATTCAGGAGCAGTGCAGCATCGTTGCCATCCTATCACAGGAGGCTGCATTAGGTAAAGCTGCAAAACAGTGAGTGCATATGCACTTATAATTAAATGATGAAGCACATTTTTTTAATGGGAGGCTATAGTTACTCTCTAATGTATCATTTTCTTATTGATCTAAACCTGCAATAGCACACCATATCGGTTTTGGGCTTGCATCAATAGCATCAGTATAACATTAGTGTGAGACACCTATGAGATAATTAATAATTCATTGACAGAAGCTGACCTCCTAATCTGCATTGGACCTGCTTCAAACGATTTTTTGCATTCCCATAGACTTGGATAGGAATGCAAAACCTGTATAACATACCCTGTATGACGCAATCAAAAAACCCATGCACTATAACCAACCTGTCACTAGGAAGACAGTTGACAGTTTTTAATCACCTATATCTTTCCTTGCTTCTCTAAGGACCCATTCACACTAGATGCCTTGGGGCTGCACTGGCCCAATGTGCAGACAAAGCAATTTGCCTTGTTTCCAATTGGATCAGTTCACACCAGTGTGTAAAAAAAGTAAATAATACAAAGCGGCGCATCAGAACTGTACCTGTCAGCGCACACCAGTGGTTTGTGGGGTGTAGAGACCCTATGTGTGTCTTTGTGGGTCAGTAATTATTCTTCACGTAGCAATGCCTCTGCTGCCTGTTTAAAAAAGGCGTTCTGTTCCTACATTATCAGTCTGCCATGGTTTCTTCAAGCTGTTAGGGTGTATGATATGTTCTGTTTAAGGGAAATTATTCAGATGTAATCTGACTAAAAATAGAGACAGGAAAATAACTCTAGCACAAAAACATATTCTTCTAAAATTCAATTCATCTGCCTCCTTTAGTCTAGCTTTTCAAGCTAATGTTACATATTTCTGTTCCCAGTGGTTATTGAATGGGTTGAGTAAAACTACATTTTGTAAACAATAGAATGGTGCATTAAAGTGACCTAACCCCATTTCTGATCCTAGGCAATTTCTCAAACTCGGTACTCTATATAACCTAAGGTATATAAAATCACTTCCCTTTAAAGTAACCTGACTTGGGTAAGGGATCTCTGTGGCTCCAGTACTAGTGCTGTAATGCTGTCCAGAGGGGCTTGCATGCAGAAAGTGCTACTGATTGGCTGCTCTGGCAGTGACGGTGGCAGTATCATTGCATGCACACAGTTCCTGTCTTGAGCCATGGTTGAGAAGTAACACCAAAACCAATCTTGAGGGTTCCCAGAACCAGTGAACCAGTGGGTAAGCTAGACACCCATGGCAAAGGCCCAGAGTGGCCCCCCTAAGGGAGAAGTTCTCTATCCACACACCCAGTGGCGCCCCTCCTAAAACAGCACCCGAGGGCACATGCCCCCCCCCATCAGCTTTGGCCCTGCCCAGAACTGCTGTCAGGTAAGTGTAAGGCAGAGTGATTTTGAACCATAGGTAAGACTGGACAGTAAGAGCATTTTTAACCACATGGCTCATACACTGCCATTTTCTAATGCTGTATTCATTAAGGGTCACTGTAATGTGATACAGTTAATGAGTGCTGCCGATGCAGAAAACTTATGATTGTTATCATTGCCTTACTGCCTTTCAAAGAGAGATTATAAAAATAACAGCTATAAGCCTATGTATGACCCAGGGAAATGCAGATAACACGTGTTACAAACTTGGGCAATTAAGACTGAGCATACAATTAAAAAGTGGCTGCGGCTAGTTAGAGAAGAGCAATACCATCATTAAAAACTGCTTTCATGTTACCTCACTTTAGAATAAGATGGCAATTAAAGATTGTTTCCTATTAGTTACCTTATGATCCACCACTGTTCACACTGCCCCTTGACTTATTGAACGTGTCGAAATATGTCTTTCCTAAAATCTGTGTATGTCTTGACAGAAACTAAATGATGAAATGGAGCAAGCAATAAAAATCTCAGAACTTCTTACTCGAGAAGGAACACAAATCAATGAAAAAGCAGGGAAGATAAATGAGCTTGCACAGTACCACCAAAGACTAAAGGACAACATTAAAGAATATGAAGAGATTTTTATCAAAATTGTGACATTTTATAAGATGAAGACAGAGGTTTGTAAACTGCATATCAAAATGTTCCATGGCCTGTATGCAAGGTGGGGGCAATATTCATGGGTGGTTTCAGCAGTGTCATTCTGGGAGATAACAGATCTATTTGGGGGACAAAACTGTCAATATACACTGCACAGCTTTTACCTAGGGTCAGGAGAAACTAAGCATTGTCAGTATACTGCATTCTGCAGAGAAACCTTTTTTCTCTTTAGAGGATAAGATTTAACCATGTGCCTCGTTTCAGACTCCCTTGGATTGAGAATCTCAACTGTACATCAATTACTGTTGCCAAATGCTAGCATGGCAATTCCCTACATTTAATTTTCTGTTTTATCGCCTAACCACCAGAACAGCAAGGTCCCATTGACACTTACGCATTTCGTAAACATGTGTTACTGCAATGTAAATGAATGCCCCACACTCTGGTGCATCATAGGGCCATTCATTTAAAACAGCACCTAAATTCACAGTACAGTAGACGCTGTCAGACCCACACTGCAGCACATCACAACATACATACCCTGTGTTTTAGCACACTGCTAAAAACAAAGTCTTCCTAAAGTTTGAAAAAGCGGGTAGGTATGAATGAGTCCTTACAATGCTCCTATGTAAGTCTTTCCGGCTATAGAACTTTGCACTTGCAACAAAGAGCAGGAACTTTGGCACCTCTAAGAGGAGTGAAGTTGAAGGAGCCTAACAATAATTAATTTGTGATAACAAGAGACAGGACGGGCCTTGAAGCCTGTTCTAGGCTACAATCCCAGCTTCTACATTACCAGGTTATAAAATAAAGTAAAAGTTCCTTTAGATTCCAACACTAAATAAGAAGTCGGTAAAAAACTGACCGTATTTAAGGATGACACAACATTTATGAGAACCATGTACACTAGACATACCATCAGCTCCATATACTGTATTCACAATAATAAATACCAATCCCCATAAAATACATTTGTGACCTCAGAAGCCTGATGGAAGAAGCCAGTTTATAACTTTCAGACCACAGTAATTTTTACCCCCGCACTGCAAGGGTTAACTGCTCGTCTTGGTCTGGGGAGGAAAAAACAAAGATATACTCACCTGATCCTCTAAGTCAGCTAGGTGTGACAACGCTCCCTCCAGCCTGTCTTGTCCTATGCTGCGGAGATGGTATGTTCCTAGGAATCCTCACGTCCTATACACTGTGAATAGAACGTGATGACTCAGGGAACTGCAGTGAAGGGGGAGGACTAAGAATAAGCCGTCTTGTAGGATCGGGTGAGTATAACTTTTTTATTTACCTGCCTAGACGAAGACGAGTAGTTATTCTTTGCAGTGTGTGGTTAGCCCCAGTGCAAAGGTTGGTAAAACATTTGCCCAGAATTCTTCTTTACTTAGCTAATAAAAACGTTTGGGGTTCACTGCTTGAAACTAGTATGTAGTCTGTAGGTTGGAGAACAGTTTCTTCCATCAGGGGCTTCAAAGACATGTATTATAGCTTCATGAAGCATTCCTACTGTCTAAATACTGTAACCTCAGAAACTGAAAAGTGGAAATATGTCTTGATTATATTCGAACCCAATTTAAAAATGGAAGCATAATATTTTTTTCTGGATTTTTTTTAAACTACAGATCAATATTTTGAAGATGGAAATAGAACCTCTGACAGCAGCTCACACTAATGATGACATTCCGCTGAATAAGAAGCAGGAGCAGCAAGCACATATACAGAGTCTATATAAAATCATTCTTAACTTGGGATCTCAGATTGTTTCCACAATACAACATTCTGTAAGTAAAATATATTTTGTAGTCAGCAATTCTAATATGTATTAAAGAACGCCAAGAGTATTACACTTTTTATTATTTTTAGGGGTTATGTATTTATATAGTTATATTAAATGAGAAACCCAGGAGGAGAAAGTGAAAGTCCTATCCACACAAGGCAGTTTTGTCCCCGTTCACACCTTTGTGCTCCGTGAACATGCATCAAATGTGCACTTTGACGTTAAAAAAGCTCAAAGCGCTCTTGATGCCATTGCTTGTTAATAGCACCCCAAACGCTCCTCAGAAAACGTGAGTTGACATGCATCAAAACACACACAAACACACAGGAAAAAACATGGACTGCACATAGTAGAAATTGCTATATGAGCTACTTTCCCACGTTTGTCGTGTGTGTGGCACTGATTGAAATCATGCACACGAATGCGACGCGGCGTTCCCAGTATGCCATGGTGTGAACAGGGCCTAAGAGCAATGCGTGCTACAGATAAAGCGCTCTTTGTTTACTATGATACATGCAAAGGTGTACAGTACCTCCTCTGGCTGCAGGGCTGTAGCTACCATGGGGCGAGTGAGGCACTCGCCTCAGGTTCAGCTGAGAGGGGGCGCAGCCCAGGCCGGCCTGACTGTGCCCCCTCGCCCCTGTTGCCATGGTGAGCACAGGGTGCCAATGGCAACGGGGGCGCCATGGCGTCCAATACAGCCGCGGCTCAGCAGGGAGAAGAGGAGCGGCACAGGCTCCAGCTTCTCCTCGGATCCCCGCTGCTGTCCCACACCTGTATCTGCAGAGGATTCTGTGTCTTCAATCTCTTTTTCTATTTCAAAAAGGAAATGTCAGGGGTCCCCTGATACCCCTGATATTTCCCCCCAAGCTCCCCAACAGTATAAAAAAAAGTATTAAAAATAAATGTAAAAAACCCCCAAAAACACACACATGCACACACATTACTAGACATGTGCAAAGACTAAAAATTTGTTTCGGACGAAATGAATGGAAACAAAAATGTTGTCATTAGTTTTGTCAAACTAAACACATTTTTATGCTATTTTGGATTTGGCCACCAGTGCATTCTGCGCATGCGCACCGCCATTTTGGAGGCGGGTCACATACCGCACACGTCTGTTGGGAGTACAATTTTCCATTCTTGCCTCGGGCGCAAAATGAGCTAGCTATGGCTCTGTCTGGCTGTGCTGTATGTTAAATTCTCTAAACCATACCACTCTGTACACAGTGCTGTACTTGACACTGTGTTCTTTGCCACTCTTCTTGCACTGTGCTGCAGATTACATATTCTGGGCCACTCCATCCTTTGTACTGTGCTGGATGTGACATACTGTACTCTATATTGCCCCATTCTGTATGCCGCGCAGTACATTACATATCACTCAGCATAGTAAAAGCATATTAATAGACAGATGGCAATTGGAATTCTAAATTCCACTTGTTCAATGAGTCTGCTCACTTTTGCTAGTAATTTTGTATCAAACTACAGATTATTCGTGAGCAGCTGAAAAGTTCTACAAAGCACTTAAATGTAGATATGTAGATTGGAGTGAATACTTTACAATGAATAAGGTATGTAAAACAGTAATAAGACCACTGGTTCATGGAGTATATTCATAGTGTGTTTCTTGTGTCCAGCATCATTTTTCATATAGCAGATGGTTATAATACAAAGCAGAAAAGCAAGTGTAAAATGCAGCAAAATGAACAATACAGTGTGTCCTATTTGCTTCCTAACTTATAAAAACCTAATCTATTAGTACAGACGTCCTTACTGCATTTAAAGCTGAAGACAAGGTAGATATTTAAACTAAAACTATGAGGGGGATTTATCATAACTGGAGCAGAGAAAATCTGGAACAACTGTGCATGGCAACCAATCAGCTTCTATCTTTCATTTTCAAAGCTTAACTGAACAAACTGAAGATAGAAGCTGATTGGTTACTATGGCCAAATGCCCCAGTTTCTGCTCCAGTTTTGATATATTCCCTGTGTTTATTAAGACTGCATGTACTTGCAGTTCGGCGCTGTAAACAGTGCACAGAGAAAATAATTATACTATATAACACTCTGCCTTGCCCACGTTTTATTCAGCCAGTATTCTTAGTAACCACCTCAATATGAATCTCTGTCACCTCTGCAATCACTAGTCTAAAAAGTTTATTTGCAGCTTCCTTGTTCCATGCTTATGTTAAGCAATCCATTCTATTTTTTTCTACCTTTTCGAATAAAATTTGTCATTTACTCTGCGCTTATTCATTCACTTATTTTAATGCCTGCCAGTTTGATGTTTTAGAACACAAGCAATTTCTAATACTGCGGGGAGTATTTCAATGGAAAAGCAGCAACATCAAAATGAGCATAACATTGCTATTACTTTATAAGTAAGACAGTAATACCGTGTACTGTTTGTACATATTGTGACCAATAGGTGGCTACATAGTACCAGGTCGTGTATACAGCTACTATATTTGCTGCTTGAAACTTGTGGTTCATTAACGTTAGAGGAGTTACATATCCCAACATTTCACCAGTCTGTGAGCAGCAAATACAAAACCCTTATATGCCATAGTGCCATGTCTGGATCTCTGCCTTTTAAAGACGCCCAAAATATTGCTGTGTACAACCACACCAAATATTTATTTTGCCCAAGAGAAACTGATAGTATTGCCTGTTAGCAGTAGTGATGGGCTGAACACCCCCGTGTTCGGTTCGTATTCAAACACCCGAACAGCCAAAAAGTTCGAATACGAATTGGAACCTAATGCAAGTCAATGGGGGTCGAACGGTCAAAAATTATTGTCCCCTTTAAGAGGGCTTATACGCAAGTTATTGGCCATAAATAGTGTATGGGGTTCCGGGTACTGCCCTGGGGGACAGGAATCAATGAAAAAAACAAACAAACAAAAAAAGTTTTTAAAGGAGCAGTGATTTTAACATCACCTAAAGGTAAGAATAAAAATTTAAAATTCCTTCAAGGTTAGATTAGGAATGGTTAGACCTTCTGGCAGTTTTTTTTTATCCTTGTGTCCCTGCTGGGGAGATTTACCTTTTTTGTCCTGGTAACCATTGTGAAAAGGACAGGAAGTGATTGAGAAATTTTACAACTGTTTCATTTAGAATACCCAGATTGCACCAGGTTAAGCCATATATGCTGATTTTTTGCTAGCTATGTGCCCAGTCTCAGCATGACTAGTTTAAATATATGCATTAGGGATGCACCGATACTAGTATCGATATCGGTGCCGATACCGAGTATTTGGGCGAGTACTGGTACCCGCCCAAATGCTCCGATGCCTAGCATGAGTACTTCCGGTATCAGGAAGCCGGGCAGCGCGTCATTACACACGGCCCGGTTTCCTGATTGGTCGGGAAGCGGCTCCATGCTCACTTGTGTAATGATGCGCTGCCCGGCTTCCTGATTGGTCGGGAAGCTGGCCAATCAGAAACCTGGGCGCCGTGTAATGACGCAGCGCCCGGCATTCTGATTGGCCGGGAAGCTGGCTTCATGCTCTCTTGTCATCTCATGACGAGCTTTAGCAGCCTGCCTCAGGACTGAGGCCTCGGATAAAGGAATAGGGGAATAGGACAGATTGTTCAGATTTCAATGTAAATTGCAGCTTAATCTAATAGATACCTGTAAATCAGTTTGCTAAGACTTAAAACGGGGACAAAAACTGCAACTTCTGGCTATGAAACATACAAAATAATATGCAATATTGTATTATTATTACCTGACTAAATAGAACAAGTATATAAAAAAAAGAAAATAAGACAAAACCAGTACACATTCCCTTTAATGGGGGTTGAGATAAGCTCATTTAACCTTAGAGACTTCCAATTTCAGATATATCAGAACTGACCTATCGGTGAGGCACTGTCACTGTGAAGCATTACCAAGCTGGAAATGCTGGAGCCTGTGTGTATAATATGTAAATATGGTGGAAAGTAACAAGTTTTTTTCTTATAATGACAGTCACATTAAAGACTAAAATAATGGCAAATAAATACAGACCTTTAAATATAGAGCTTTACCTACTATGTTTTGATAAAAATGTGTTTTCTATTACCAAAGTGTCCTTTTGTGTTCAGTACTTTCATGATTAAAGGAGTTCTAAAGTCTTAGCATATAATACCTTGCTGTAACATCAGCATTGTAATAGGAATACATACTATAGTTGTTTTTGATAATGCAATCAAAGCTTAGTTTAAAAAAAAAAACCTTTATGTAGTGAGTGCTGCCTTCTGTCTGCTCATCAATTTCAACAACTTGAATGCAATCTCAATTTCTCAAGACTACATAGCCAATCATGCATTGCTTCCAGCAAACCATGAGGATGCTTCATTGTTCAACTGTAGAGTTGAAGTTCGGATGGCAGGCTTTTTTAGCATGGTAAAACAAATGGCAGACACACTCATTAAGTCATAACCAGTTTTAAAGCAAGGTGCACATGGAAGAGCTTTAAACAGTAAAACAGCAAAAAGTTTCCCAGCACACTCACCAACCAGCATAAAAAAAAAACCTGTCTAACCGCTAAGGTTAAAAACAGAGGTTTTAGATACACGTCTTCTGCAGAATATGTGAAAGCCGCACTGCCTCGTCAAGGCTCCTCTGTGTAGCACGGCTGGAAACTTTTTGCTGTTTTATTATGTAGCGTGGTGACACAAGGAAGTGCATATTCACAGGCCTGGGTGAAATTATGTTACTGCATTGAGGAAGTACTTCCTATGGGCATCTTCAATAAGTAAGTTTATAAAGGTCTAGATTGCTATGGTTATTAGGAGTGGGATCAAACGTATGGAAATTCAATATAGAAATACATATTCGCTTTTACTTTTTTACCGTAGATACTTTAAGTCTAACATAATCAGTTTTTCCTAACTGTAATTTGTTGTGTACTTTCCTTTTTATAGAAGTTCATTACTATACCTCTAATTGATCTCCAGCAGCAGCTCCATAACCTGGAACGTGACAGTGTGATGTGGAATGTAGAAAAGAAAGAGGAAAAAGCATCAAGCACTTCGAACACAGCATCCATTGGAGATGTAAATGAAGTAAGATGAGAGCTAGCCATGTATGATTATCACATTCAACAAGTACACAAAAAGAAGAAACTTAAATCTGAAAAAATAAACTAGATAGGATATTTTACTGTTGTGCTATTAAGTGGTTTAAACCTTTCTTACACACACTGAAATATAGAGATATAAATTAGGGATGCACTGGAATTTCGGCCGCTGAATCATTTCAGCTCAAAATGGCACTTTTGGCAAATTGCCGAAAGTGCCACGACGACTGAAAATGCGGCCAAAAATTTGGTGCTGCATCAGAAGGCACACAGACCAGCACCCAACTGGGAGGAGAGAAACTTTTAGGATGCCGAGCGGTGCGGGGCGGTGACAGCTGTCATCGTTGCAGGAGGCAGAGTTTTCCTCCCACACCTCCAGGCTCCGCATCCTGCGTCAGGATGGAGAGCGGTGAGTGGAAGAGAGTGCTGTGATCTGTTACAGGAGGTGGAAATCTCCTCCCCCACCGGCCAATCCCTCCTTTGACAGCTGATTCAGGATGAAGAGCAGTATACAAACACACACACGATCAGCTGATCGGTGAGTGTTTTGTAAATAACTGGACATAGTGTAATTACTATGTCCAGTTATAAATGAATGGGAAGTGATCTACATCACTTCCCATTCATTCATGATTGTGGACATAGTAAGTACACTACTGTATATCCACAATGCATAAATGGGCAGGAACACTCAATATAGAGGATTCTTGTTCATTTATAACATGGGCTGCACAAAAAGAGATTGTGTTCTCTGTTCTCCCTAATATAAACGAATTACATTTACGTTGGATTCACACTGTTCTGTTTGCATAGTGTAAATATCCACATATTATTTCCATTTCCCTAGGAAAGAATTGGATTTCTACTTGTAATGCATTTTCATGCACTAACATGCAAGAGTTTATATATCTACATGAACATGGACATGTGTGTATAGGCCCTTAGGCCCCATTCATACTTGCTGCGCATATGAACGCATGACACGTTTTGCTGCATTTGTCATTGTCAGCATAGGGCAGCTTATTCATTTCAATGGTCTGCCCTACACATGTCAAACATGGCAAAGAAGCTCATGCAGCAGTTTGAGCTGCATCTTTTGATTGTGCATTTGTCACACATTAACGTGCACAGCAAGAGGCGCATCTAGATGGCTGTTTAATAATGGCACCAGAAGCGCAGCATACACTTTTGCATGTTTCGTGAAGGCAGCAAAATCATGCGATTTTGTGCGCATTCACATACTCTGCAAGTGTGCATGGGGTCTCACGTATCTCAGCTTCTCTTTCAAGGGAATGGATTAGATGTATATACAAAAACAGACTATTGTGGGTGTAGAACCTGTATAAAAATCAATGCACAATGACCACACAGACACTAGTTCTGTTTCAGTATTCCGTGTTTGCATAGTGTGCCTGATAACAGGAGCGTAATGAAAATGTTTTATTTATTGTTGTGGGTAAAGCTACTACCTAGTTGCTGCTTTGCTGTTTATTGTATACATTCACATAAGAAAGGAAAGCAAAACATTACGCTTATGGAAGAGATTTTTCTGAAAAATAGAAAAGAGTATTTATCAAGCAAAATAATGACATGATTTGATGAGAAAAAGGTTGTCTCTCTGTTAGCAAAGTCTGAGCAACAGTTTTCCTGTGTGTTAGGGACCTGTGCACGTGTAATCCTGGGCAGCCACCATCAATAGATTTGCAAAGGTCGGAGTCAGATTTATCACTGACTTTTACTCGAAACATACACAGAAATAAGAAGTGGTCAGTGTCAGGTTTCATTTTACTGCATTGCTACTTTAGGGCTGCTGAATCAAGCTGTAACCTTGTAGTAAATCTGTCACACAATCTGTCTCAATGTTCCTGTTTAGCATTGCCTCGCTGTGCAAAAAAATTGATAAATGTCCCCCAGAGACATAGCAGGGGACTGTGCTGGCTACAAAGCTCAGGATTTAAGTCTTAAACATGCATTCAAGTACCTTAACTATTAACAAAAATGTAGCTTGTTTTGTATCACTTGGCTGTAGATTCTCAAATCATCTCGGAAATCATCTCTGAATGTATGCTGACATTGTCCTTCCTTCTGGAGGGGGGCTACTTTTGTTCCCCATGATCTTTGTGTGTGTTGTAATATAGCCACTATTCCAAATGTGTACTAGTAAAGGACTACAATCTCACATTTAGTTATCAAATTTGTATTGAAGTTAGTCTTTTCACAGGAGTGAGCATGGAGCAGTGGCTACATTACAACACACACAGGGACCATGGGAAACAAAAGTAGCCATCCTCCAGAAAGGAAGGACAGCATTGACACAAATATAGAGATGATTTGAGGATCTAAAGCTGTGTAATACACAAAAAATATGTTTATAGTTAAGGCACTTAAATGCACTTTTAGGATTTAAATCCTGAGTTTAGTGTCAATTTAAAATTCTGATAAGAATGTCTGAAAAGTTCATTATCACCCTTTTGAAAAACTAGTTTGATAACTGGTGTGCTCAATATAAGGAAAATTGCTCGCTATTATCAGGCTGTTCAGAGCCACCTTATTACACAGGAATGATTTACAAATCCTGTTCACAGCAGCTGTCTGTGACACCTTTAGCAACAAGTGTCTGATGCTGCTCTAGAAAATGATCTTCCCCCAAAGCAAACATTCAGATGACAAGCCACATTTGTCCCCTTGAGGTTTCAAAATGCAGTGAATCTTGCCACCAATGGAGGCCTCTTCTACTCTACAAAAGATGCTGCTTGCAGCTGCTTTGAAGCCTCATGGCAGGCACAGTCCTTTCTTCACAGTTAAACTAAAATGCTGCTACATAGACATATCTGTTAGGAATTATTACCACAACCTGTGGAATAGACAGTGGGGTTGATTTAAACAGAAGTGGTTTACTAAGTGCATTTTTATTAAAGTGACTCTAAACTCAGGATTTAACCCTTTCGCTGCCAAGCCCTCCGGAACATTTTTCAAATCAGCTGGCCAAGCCATTTTTTAATTTTCTGCAATTTTTTCCTATTGATTTGATTTTCAACTGCTGCGTTGCTAAAAATACATTCAATTACTCTATTAACAAAAATGGCCAGCTTACGGGGAAATCCTTCTATGAGGCATTTGTCACTTCAATAGGTGCTACTTCAGTGCCAACTGTATTTTGGGTTTCCTATCACTTTCTGTCACATGACAATGGTAACCAGCCCAAAGGGAGGATTAATTTTCCCTCTGGGGAAACTCAATTTATTTGTGTATCACTCGGCTGTAGATCCTCAAATAATCTCTTAATTGGTGCTGACACTGTCCTTCCTTCTGGAGGGTGGCTACTTTTGTACCCCATGGTCCCTGTGTGTTTTGCAAAATAGTCACCGCTCCAAGCTCACTCCTATGATGAACTAAAATCTCAATACAAACTAGTAAACTAAACGTGAGATTTTAGTCCATCACGGGAGCGAGCTTGGAGTGGTGGTTACTTTACAACACACACAGGGACCATGGGTGAACAAGCCACATTTGTGTTTATAGTTAGTTTACCTGAATGCGTTTATAAAATTTAAATCCTGAGTTTAGTGTCACTTTAAGCTTAGTAGATGAGGTGAAGATTAGTGAAAATTCACCTTGCAAAGAACAACCATTCATTATTAATCAAAATAAAAAAAACAGGATTTTTGATTGGATGATTGAAGTTTGCATAGCTTTACCTTTTTTATATTTTGAGCATTCACTTTGCAAAGTGAACACGCTCTACTCTTATAAATTATCCCCACTGAAATTTAAGCAGGGTTTACAGTCTTTTTCAAGTTTTGTACATGTGGATGTAGCACAATGGCGTAGTGGTTAGCACTTTTGCCCTGTAGCACTGGGGGTCCCTGGTTTGAATCCCAGCCAGGTCACTATCTGCAAGGAGTTTGTATGTTCTTCCTGTGCTTGTGTGGGTTTCCTCCAATATTCCAAAGACCTGCCGGTAGGTTAAATGGCTCTTGTCTAAATTGGCCCTCATATGTATGGATGTGAGATAGGCACATTAGATTGTAAGCTCCTTGAGGGCAGAGACTGATGTGAATGTGTAATGTGCTGCGTAAATGGTCAGCACTATAAAAACTAAAAATGTAATCTGCATTACTTAAATAGTGTTATTACTAAGTGTGTTAAAAATTGTTTTTTTCTTTTGTCTAATATGGCTTAGGAATTGCTATATTCCTTGAAAAATTCAGACTGTGCTTTCTTTTTACAAATGTTACTAGCATTGTACCCACCCTCTGCTGATGGACCTGATGGAAACTGCAGCAGAGGGCGGGTACAATGCTAGTTTACTATTGGCTATTGAAAATTGAAATAGCCAATAGGAATCTAGCAATGCATTCCAATGGGCAAAATTTTTATTTATTTTTTTCTATTCTGACACGGCTCCGTGTCAGAATAAAAAAAAAAAGAGACAGCAGTGTTTCTCTCCAGTGAATAGCCTGTACAGCACCCCTTCGGTTCTACTGAACCAAAGGGGTCCTGGGGCCGAAGCTAGCCGAAGGATCGGCCGAAGCTACGGCTAGATCCTTCGGCAGCTTCGTGAATAGACCCCTTAGTGTTCTGTCAGCACTAAGTATTTTTACCTAGCAGCAGGCTCTCACAGTACAGAGGAAGAGGGCCCTGAGCATCAGTCAGGTCATATATATAAAGGCCAGGGGACAGCTGAGACTAATATAATGGTCTGACTACCAGGTAAGATATAGACCTCGAACCGGACTCTAACCCACCCAAATCTCAACAAAACCAGGATCCAGAACAGAATTTAAGATTATAAGGAACAAAAAAAAGCTTGCTTTCACCACAATAGTCATAAACTCTGGAGGCCCTCACCTTGTGTATGTGAGAAACCTAGGTGACACCTAGACACAATGCACAATCCTTACAGCCAGTGCCTCACAAAAAATAATTATATTAACATACATACATATAATACATATACACATACATACATACACACAGTACATA